CTTAAGATGATTTTTAAAAATTCATTTGAGATAGACTTAAAGTCTTATTTTGGCCTTTGCATCTTGTTTCCATTTTTTCCAACTGTAGTTGGCCAGATTTACTCCACAGCTGGCCAACTCCTACCCCTAAGTCTACAAAATGTATTTTCAATTAACCTCAGTCTACCTTGAGTGAACTTGTTGTTTGCTACTAAAGAGTAATTGTGATAACAGAAATGAAATAATATGGATTGCGTCCCATTATACTAACTCACAAACAAGGTCTAATAACTGTACAACAATGTACTTCCAGTTCATGCTCATCTTTATACTGTAGTTGTTTTCTTTCTAACTTTTCTACATACCATATACTACATGAGTTTAAGAAAAAATCATCTTAAGAATCGGGTTTGAGGCATTAATCACCGATGATCAGAGACCAGAGGAGTTTTGGAATGAAACCAAAGAGATTTCAAGAGAAGTCAAGAGTGCCCAACAAGAGAGAAAAAGGTTATCATAAAAACAGGTTTTTCCAAATCTTTAGAGTTCTAAATGGTAAGGAGTTGCACTGTTACTCCAAAGGTACATGGTTCAAGGTTATTGGCTGTACACTGGGAGAAAGATGGCAATCTCCTTCTGTGCAGTTTACAGTCTCTGAAAACCAATTGATAGGCCAGCTATGGGTTGATTTCACCTTGATAGCATATAATAACTGCAAAAACAAGAAGTCATCTCTGAATCTGGTTTTTATTTGGTCTCTTGACTGTTATTGTCTCTGTTACCTCCATTTTTTATAAGTTTTAATTTGTGATTGGCAGATGGACATTTTTTGTAGAATAGTAAATAAATAATATTCTTACCCAGAAAAGTATGTACACCTTCTTCTACCAAGCCTTCAGCAAGCAGAGTTGAATCAGTCTTACAAGTAATTAAGCTAATTTGTTTTTGCTTATTTACCTTCAATGTATCACCAGCTTCACATTCTTTTGGTATTATTATTTTATGCTTAGGGTGAGACAGGGTTTACTGGAAGGGTATTCTCAATATCTGCTCCATTCTCAACTTCAGGCTATCTCTTTCACTTGTACATCAAGTAATGTTTCTGATTGCAATTTTGCCCCACTCCCAATAGTAGACTCTGTTGCTTCCTGTTTGGTCCTTGAAAGACTAGGGTAGCTGTGTGTAGGTAATGGACAGGGAGGTATTTTCTCTGCTGTCTTGGATCAGTTTCCATCTTATGGAAGCCCTGTGTTCCTGTGCCTTGGATGGAATCTCAGTGTTCCTCACACTCTGGTGTAGAAAATCTCTAATGATTGAACCAAATAGATTTTAATGTTTCTACTTAACGTTAGCGTCGAGGACTCTCCTTCACAGGGTCACTATGAGTCACCTGTGACTCAACAGCACTTAACAACAACAGCAACAACAACTTAACGTTATTGATTTTTCTTTTCCTTTGGCTCTAACAGGACACTACACTTCTGCACTCAACTGGTACTTTTGTTCCATAATTTATATGTACCCAAGGCTTCTTATCTTTCCTGCAACAGTGGCCATTCTCCCATCCCAGGCCACATCACTAAGGGAAGCATTCCTCAGGCTCCAGCCGCACTCTCAATCTTAAGTAGCAGTGGATAGCTGTAGAAAAATCTGTAACTGGTTTTAGAGTCTGTAAGGGACATTCCTGTGCTTGTGGCTGCCATAGCTCTAGATCCAGGATGTCCTGTGAATAAGCTTTTTCTTTTTCTGATTTAATACTTTTGTTCACTTTGTTTCATTATATTTTCTTCCATGTTTGATACTCATTAATCTCTATGTTTACCTTTTCAGGCTAGCTTGTAATGACTTCTTGCCTTGTATAAATTTGCCGCACTAATTTTCTAGTGAATTAGGACACTCATTGTACTGACCTTTCATTTTTCATGTTAGTTTTGTACAATGTCGCGATACAGATCTCTGTTCCCTACAGTGCCTAGAGCAGAATAGAGCAGTCTCTAAAGTATGGGTTGTTGGTTTTTGTGGTTTTTTTTTTCAACTACTCAAACAAAACATGCACGTATTTTCAGAATTTATATCGGGATACTAATAAATTCCAAAGTTTAGGTTTATAGGGAGAAAGACACTTCTGTCTAGGGACATTCCCATTTCATAAAATGACATCAACAGAATCTACATGTTGCCCTGATTATCATATTATATTTGCTTTTTGGTTTATAGATCACATTAACTTTTCATACACTCATTCAAAGCTTGGAAGCAGGAATGGCATCCACTTCCGAAATAGCTTGCCTCCAGAAACTCTATGAACGTGGAGAAACGATGAAAGTTATACAAGAGTTCAGGTCTTTTGTACATAGGATCACTATGAGTCATCTACGACTCAATGGCACTTAACAACATTCAAAGACAAGTGTTTTCTTTATCATATTCTTTTATCCTTTTCCTCTGTCCTCTAACTTTCTGTGAAGAGTGAGAGCCTGATATTCATTAATTTCTCTCAGTCACAAACCTCTTCATGACAAGGAATAAGGAACTACAGCCTTGGCCCTTAGAATTTCTATTGTTCTGTAACCTCAAATTTGGAGGCATAAGCTTTATCCTCCTCCTTAGCTTAATCAACATAGAGGTGGTATTTTGTTTCTCTATGTGCCAATTCTTTGGTTGATCATTTGGTTCTGAATTTGATAGGAGGAAGGACCTTATTTGCCCTTCTCAGAGACCTAAGTACACTCAGTAGAGTTCAAACTCATTTTGGGATGAGGGAGGATTGTCTCAACAATCCTTATATTTATGACAAGCATGATGTAATCCTTGCTCAATGGAATTCTTTGTTTTCCTATGTTTTTAGTTGAAATGTGCGAGGAGCTAGAGTCGGAAAGTCAAAAGGGCTGAACTCGTTCAGCAGTTTTTTTAAATTTTTTTAAAAATTTTATTATTTTTGTGTGCATGTACTGTCAAATCAGATCTGACTGGTACAGGAGGAGATTGCCCCTCCTTCCCCGGCAGAGCACCTGGTGGATTCGAACCGTGCACCTCTGGGATTGTAGTTGCAGCTTCTTGCCACTAGGCCACCAGAGCTCCCCCGTTCAGCATTTCTTAAGCTCAAGGAACTGAAGAACAAATTCACACCTCGAGTTGCTATAATCAAGGATGCTTTAGGCAGAATATTAAATGATCCAGGAGGTATCAAAAGAAGATGGAAGGAATATACTTCATTGTATAGAAAGGAATTGGCAGATACAGAAGAATTTAATGAAATAACATTTGAGCAAGAGCCTATGGTGATGAAGGCAGAAGTTCAAGCTGCTTTGAAGGAAATAGCAAAAAATAAGGCCCCAGGAATAGATGGTATGCCAACAGACATATTTCAGCTAACAGATGCTGCCCTGGATGTGTTCACCAAGCTGTGCCAAGAAATCTGGAGAACAACCACTTGGCCAACTGACTGGATGAGATCTATATTTGTTCCCCTTCCAAAGAAGGGTGACCCAACTGAGTGTGGAAACTACAGAACAATAGCATTGATTTCACATGCAAGCAAGATTCTACTGAAGATTATCCAAAAACTACTGGAACAGTAAGTACATCAGCAGAGAACTGCCAGAAGTCCAGGCTGGGTTTAGAAGGGGTCGTGGTACTAGGGATATTGTAGCCGATCTTAGATGGATCTTAGCTGAAAGCAGAGAATACCAGAAGAATGTCTATCTGTGTTTCATTGACTATGAAAAGGCATTTGACTGTGTGGCTCATAACAAACTGTGGCTGACTCTGAGAAGAATGGGAATCCCAGAACATTTAATCGTGCTAATGTGAAACCTATACTTGGACCAAGAGGCAGTCGTCAGAACAGAGCAGGGCAACACTGCCTGGTTCAAAATTGGGAAGGGAGTTCGCCAGGGATGTGTCCTATCTCCATACCTTTTTCAACCTGTATGCAGAGCAGATTATCCGAGAGGGTGCACTCTATGAGGAGACACGTGGCATTAGGATTGGTGGAAGATCTATCAACAATCTGTGTTATGCAGATGACACAACCTTGCTTGCTGAAACTGAGGAGGACCTCATGCACTTACTGCAGAGGGTCAAGGACTGCAGCCTTCAGTATAGAGCGAGGCTCAATGTCAAGAAGACAAAGATTCTCACCACTGGACCAATCGGTAGCATCAGGATGGATGGCGAAGAGATTGAGATTGTTCACAGCTTCAGTTTGCTCGGCTCCACAGTCAACACTCTTGGCACCAGCAGCCAGGAAATTAAAAAAAAAAGTATTGCGATGGGAAAGTCTGCTGTTAGGGACCTCTCTAAAGTATTCAAGAGCAACAGTGTCTCTCTAGAGACGAAGGTGCGCCTGATACAGGCCATGGTCTTTGCAATCACTTGTTATGCATCAGAGAGCCGGACAATGACTAGGGAGGACAGAAGGAGAATTGACGCCTTTGAGCTGTGGTGCTGGAGAAGAGTATTGAATGTACCATGGACTGCCAAGAAAACAAACAGATTCATCCTAGAGATGGTTAAACCAGGCTACTCCTTGGAGGCAAAGATTCTGGGGCTTCGTCTGACATACTTTGGACATGTTGCAAGGAGAGACAGGTCTTTGGAGAGGGACATCATGCTGGGTAGAGTAGAGGGACAGCGCAGGAGGGGAAGACCCTCTATGAGGTGGATTGATTGAGTGACTGGGGTAATCAGGATGGGTATGTCAGAGGCAATGTGATTGGCACAGGATAGAGCACGGTTTAGGGCTGTTGTACATAGGGTCGCTATGAGTCGCAAACGACTCGACGGCACATAACAACAACAACAACATGTTTTTAGTTAGCTGAAACTAGTAAGTGGTCAAATTTAGATAAGAATCTTCTAACCCTCAAACAAGCCATTTTTTTGGGTCAAAGAGAACACTTCTTTCCCCAAGTCATGGGATCCATGTTAGTTAACACATCAAAGTCATGAACTGATAATAGTCATCAGAATCAGGAGTTTTGACCTTGGGCTCCTTCATTTTTGAAATGACATGTTACCTTTGTAGGTTGGAACAGTGTCCAATTTTCCTTTTTTAACTTGTTGTCTTTCCAAAGGTCTAACTATTGCCACGGGCTGCACTTTATAAGAATTAAAATCCCGCTTGTAGGTTGTATCAAGATCAATCTCCCCTTGCTTTGGCTTATATTCTTCTGGCACATGGCGAGGCTGTTTGACTATTTCATAAGGGCGATAATCAGACCTGAAATAACAGAAATTTGAAACATAGTCTCACAGGTTCTTCTATTTCTAATTATTTCAATGCAGTATTAAAGTATTCAAGATTTAAAAAAAAAACTTGAATATCTAAGATATTAAAATAGAGATCATTGATACATTACTTGAAAAAAAATAAAATCTTTTATAAGTTGTTTTTTAGGAATTGAAGCTGTGGAGGATTTAATTTTACTTGGATCTGCCATCAATACTCAGAGAAGCAGCAGGCAAGAAGTCAAATGATGTATTACATTGGGTAAATCTACTGGCAAGAGCCTGTTAAGCCCTAAAGAGCAAGGATATCATTCTGAGGCCTAAGGTGTGCCTGACCCAACCCATAATAATTTCAATTGGCTTTACATGCTTTTGACATAGACAAAATTGAGCATGTCCCAAATGAAACAATTTCCTCCCAATAAGTATTTTTGTTTCCTGTCTTAGTGAATGGCATTGCCAAGGCTTTGGGTTGCACAAGTCAGAAATCTACAATTCATGCTTCATAGCACTCTTTCCAGTATCAACTCCATGCATGCCTTCTAAATAACTCTCAACTCTAAGCATTTTTCCATCTGTCAGCAATATCATATTCCAAGTTTATTAACAGTTCATTCAAACCACTTGAATAGCTTCCTAAACTCATTTACCTGTATCCACTCCAGTCTATTTTCCAACCTTTTCTCCATGTAACAACCAAATCCTTTCACATGTAAATCTAATCAGGTTTCTCTACATCCCCTCCAAAAGGAAACATAAGCTTTTAATGGCTTCTTATGCTCTATGAATATGGAGAAGAAAAAAAAACCAAACAAACCCCAAAACTGAACATAGTCCACAAGACTAGGTCTGTTCTCCTTTATTAACCACAAAGTGCTTCCTTTAGTTTTCTTTGTTATAGCTGGCCTTTGAGAATTTCCTCCTAGCCTTTCTCCTTCCTGCCACAAGCCATGCTCTCTGTCTGCACTATATTTGCTTCCCTACTAATCCAGTTCACTGCTACATGTCTTTCAAGTCTTAGATCCTTTTTCTTACTTTTTTGTTACTGTCACAACTCTTATCCTAACTCTTAAGGAACCCTGTGCCTGTCCGTCATACATTTTATCACTGCTGAAATGTCATACTTCCTTTGAGTGATCTTTTTAATCAGTATCTGGATAACATACTCTATAGAGTTCATGACTTTCCCCCCTCATATGTGGCACTTAACAGGAGCTTTAGAAAGCCTAAGATAATTATTTATGCATTAATGATTGTAGACAGCACATACCTGTGAGTTGTTCTTTTTTTCCTTTCCAAATACAGCTAGAGAGGAATAGGCTACAGTACAATCAATGGGTGGAGAAATCAGGGAGAGAAGGATAGAGAAAAAGTTCAGAAGTCTCAGTTTCTCAATTGGATTAGTTAAGTGTCAGAAAGCAAGGCCCATCTCTAAACCTAAAGCAATTGTAAAAAAAAATAGTAGTAATAATGTAGTCATATTCATGTAATAAATATTGAAACACTTGTGTGTCCAGACTTCTAAATTTTCAGGGCAAACTTCCTCCCAGCTCCTTGTGTTATCTGACAGTCCTATGCTGTACTGAACTACTAAAAGGCTCTACTGGATCAAAAGTTTTATTCAAGTCCAAACATCTGCTGCTCTTTTACAGTATTATAGTACAGAAAAAAATAAAATAGTGCCTTCTACTGTTAGTTTATTGCATTTCTTTGTTACTACAGACAAATCATCTGTCTCTTGTCTAGTCAACATAAAGAAGCCAAGCAAGAGTTGTACAACTTTAGGATGTGGCTCTTAGAATTACTGCTAGTTCCTCAGCCAAAATAAAAAGGGCAGATCCAGTCTTAACAAAGTGGTACAGATAGTGATTTAAGAAATGGGGTTTTTTGTTTCATTGGCGTATTCGGACACTTTTTAATTTGGAATCACGCATTTCGTTTTCTTTTCTTTTACTATCATGGATTACTTGAACAAGTCAATGGAGAAAACACAGAATTGAAAAACAATTGTTTTCAATACTCCCAATCTTAACAATGAGAACAAGTTAAAACCAAAACTTTATTCAGAAAACACAACCACAGTGAAATTTATTTCAAATCTTCACTATGAACAATGAAGGCATTTAAAAAAGAAAGTAAAGAAAAAAAATTTTACTTGCACCATCTTAACCAATTGTTTGATTTCTTCCTCTAATTTACTACAGTTATCTTGTTTAATTTTCTACTTTTTACATTTGATATACTTTTTAAATTTTCTGGATTTTGTATGCCACAGATTGTAAACAGTAGGGCAAAACCCTGTTTTATGCGGCATGCCATTTCCCAGGAGCAGTCTAGTACATGACCAAGGGATCTTTGTCAACAGAAACATCAACAATACTGATTAAAAATGCCGCTATCTGGGACCCACTCTATTACTTGCTGATGCTATTACTTTAATTCCGGAATCTGTGATTTTAATCACCTTTCTGGATGCTCTAGTCTGAGGGTCTGAAATTTTTTCTAATTTATGGAGGAACCATATATGCTACAGCACTAATTGAAGGTCCCAAGGCACTATTATCCTCAATGGTTGCCTGAAATCCAGCTGTAAAGAGAAGTTATCCTATTTAAAGGAAATCTCTAGAATAAGAAAAAAGCATAGAGGTCAAAGTGTATTAGTGATACCAGGGGTGGATGGGAATGACTATTCCGACTGAGTATCCTGTTGATGGTATAATAAAAATTGGATATGTACAGTTGTATTCAATTCATGGGTACTTAACATTAATAGTGATGATGTTTGTCCAATATAGTTAAGTGTAATTAATGTCACTGAAATTTATACATGTAAAAATGGGAGAAATGGCAAATGCTTTGTTAAATATATTTCACCACAATAACTTATAAAATGTAGGAGTGATTGAAGGTTGCAAAATTTCCATCCTTGCCTTTTATGTAGAAGAAACTCTATATAAAATAGATTGGAAATGGCTAATACTAAAAATGTAAAGCTTATAGAGAGCAGTTTTAAAACTCAAAATTCTAGAATATACAAGTTCTCTGAACACAAGAACTTCAACTTTTTACACTTAATGCTGAAGATTGTGCCTTGAATATTATGATCACATTTAATAGTGAATGAGTAAAATAACTAGTCCACCATACTATCAAAGATATTAAAAACCCACAGACTTCTTAGTTGGAAGAGTGGAGGGACAGTGCAGGATGAGATGGATTGACTCAGTGACTGGAGAAATGGGATTAGGTCTGTTGGAGATGATGAGATTGGCTCAGGATATGGCAGGTTTCAGAGCTATTGTACAGGGGTCAGCATGAGTTGCAGGCAACTTGAAGGCACATAACAACAACACCATAGAACAAATATTGAGTCAGTACTATGTGTTACTGGGTATTGCTGTTAGGTATCATCGAGTGGAACCAACACAAGCAGTGAATCACATGGAAGAAGACAGCCCATCTTTCTCCCACAGAATGACTAGCTGGTGGATTCGAATCATATGCCTTTGGGTTACAGCACAACACAACTTCTTACCACTAGTCCCCCAGAGTTGGTATTGTATTGTTTTAGCTGTTGAATACTTTTAGGCCAAAAAATGACTTAAAGGTTATCCTCCAGCAGGTTTTGATAGGCAATTAATTACATAAGAGGAGACTGTCTCCCATGGAGCAAGTGTGGTGGATTCAAACCATGAGCTTTTGGGTTGGTAAACCAACTCCACAGGCCCAGTTTCACCTTCCAAAGACTATGAAACAATGCTAATAATAAATAATAAAAAGGTAGTTACATAGTAGAATTTCATCTTTCCTGAAAATTGAGGAAGTGTCAGAGGCAGATTTCAGAGGTAGTAGTAACTGAGTTGAGATTTCTAGGCTGAAGGGGCATTAAGTAAGTAGGGAAGAAGGAAGAAAATTCCAGCAGTACAAATGATTTTGAAAGGCTCTGTGACAAGGGAAACTTGACACTTTCTAAAGATGATAAAAGGCCTATGGGATGGGTGCATAAGAGTACAATGGTCATGTGAAATTAAGCTACAGCAACAAGGATCAACTACGTGAGGAGTTTGGTAACAATTTTGACCTAATATATGGTAGAATGCATAAGAATTCCAAGCAGAGCAATGATCAGATTAATATGCATTTTCTTTTGCAGCCTTAAGTACAGAACGCATTCAGAGATGCAGAAGCTAGAGCAGGTGCAAATACAACAATTTAAAAATGACTGAACTTGTGTAGTTGGTGAGGACAGTGGGAAGATGAATGATTTTGGAAGGTTAAAAAAGAAATCAATACAACATTTGCTTTTCTTTACCAGCCTAACTCAGTTCTCATCTTTCTTTTTCTTAAGTTGTGACTGAACTGGTTTCTTGCTTCTTTTAGTGTTGGTTCAACTTGAATCAAGTAACTGGCTTAAAATAAATGGTTGGATAATTCTATTATGACCAGACGAGTGGGGAAAAAATAATTAAAGCCAACAGTTGCTGAATATTTACTTAAATGTTGTTATTCCTTCCATTTTACCACGACCTGCTTGAAATTCTTGCTTGGGCTTGAGACTCTGAGGTGGAAGCACACTGCCATATGTAGGATATTTTTCCAAATACTCAGTTGTGAGGTAAGGTACTCCAGAATTTTCATAAATCTTTGTGCTTCCATGTGGACAACGATGTCGCCTGTGAAAACATATAAATGGGAACATTACTTTCAGCTGCAAAACACACGGGCGTGATGGACCTCAGGTAAATGAAATTTGTACATTTTAAAGCAGTTTTGGGTTTTAAAACTCTAAAATCAGACAAATCAACCCTCCATAGACTTTGAAATGATTTACAAAAATAATGAACAAGTTATTATATCAAGCAGAAGTGGTGTCCACTTCCAAGACATGCCTCTGGCAACTCTATGAACTTTGATAAATGATGTTATAGAAAGGCTTCAGGCTTTTTTCCAATAGGGTCGTTATGAATCGTGCTCAATATGCCAGCAATCAACAACAACATGATGTTTTGTTTTAACCAAACCAAACAAAAACTTTTCAGCGTTTGAGTTAATTTCAACTCATTTCCCTGTTATTGTTGTGCATCATCGACATAGCTTACCCACTTTTGGGTTTCCAGAGGCCACTGGAGGCGATTGCCAGCTCTGCACTGGAGGGAGGAGATTGCCAGCTCTGCTTACAGATGCCAACTGTGTGCCTTCGGATTGCAGTGCAGATTCGTGCCACTAGGGACACCAGAGCACCCTAGCTAACTCATCACGTTATGTGCTGAGCAGCCAGCTTGAGACTCAGCGACACTATTTACAACAGGCCTAAACTCTGTTCTGTCCTGTGCCAATCCTATTGTTTCTGATACACTTACCCCCCCCCTCCCCACCCCAATCAATCAATCCATCT